AATTTAATTTTATTTATATTATACGTAATGGTTATTTAACTTCATAAGTTAATATAATTTTTTCTAAAATTTGCATAGCCACATACTGAGAGAATAACAATGGCTATGCCAATAACGGTAAGTATGTTGCATACATTTGCATAATAAGAACATATAATATCTCGTTGTACCTTGAAAATTAAAAGATATAAAATGCTAGTATTAAAAAGCATCTCTAAAATTAGAAAAAAAAGATATGTATAAAAAACTATAAGAATAAAAAATATAAATATTAAAAATAATTCGTAGTATCTATAATATATAATAATATGTTTAAATAAAAAATGTTTAATATTAAACTCATTTTGAAGGTATTGACGAGACTATTATAACATTGTAATCTGTTAAAAAATGTATTTTCAATGTGTCTTATTTAGTATACGGTTATATAGGTTAATATGATAAATATGTAAAACGTAAAATAAGAAACTATCTATAAGGATACAAAATATAATTTAAAAAGTAAAAATAATTGAGATGACTCATTAATAATGTAATTTCTTATAGAAGCATAAATTTACAGTATGATATAAATTTTAGGCCATAAACGCTCAATAATAAATCTAATAAAACCTATTAATAAATAAACAAAAAAAAAACGTAAATTATCCCTCGATATTTTGAAATTGGTCAAATTGAAAAATCATGTCGGTCATAGACTCGTAGTGCACGGTCGGATGTGAAACAACAAACCAAGGTCGAGTATAAGAGGATCTCTAAAATAGAGAAAATTAACTTTTTGTCATTTATAATGTTCCAACAACTTTCCTATAGACGATTCCTAAAGAGGAGAAAGAAAAATGGATTCATTTCGCCAACGAGGATTGAATTGATATTATTTTATATAAAGTTTTTAAAAAGTGTACTGAAATCATAAAATTTTAGAATATTTAAATAATATAATTAATGATGAAATCTCTAAAATATAAAATATGTTGGAGTTGAATGTAATATATTTTAGAGATTTTGAATTTTGATTCTCTATTTTAGATAAACTAGAAGAGTATTCGCGCAATGCAACGAGATACATCTTCATTTTAGGGGGTGTTTGGGATTGCTTATAAAAACAACTTATTGACTTATCCCGGTGTGACACCGGTAATAAACACTTTTAAGTGTTTGGATAAACAACTTATAACGGTGCCAAACCGGTAATAAAGAGTTTTTGAAGAAGTTAAACCTTTTTGACTTATAATAAGCTAATAAGTGCTTTTGTAGAAAAACATAAGTTGTTTCAAATAAGCAATCACAAACACCCATTTTGTTTTATTTTTTTTGTCTTTATTAATATAATACGGTTTATGTCGTTTTGAAAAATATATTGTTTTTACTTTTGAATAAAAATAAATTTGAAGATATCATAAAATTTTGAAAAATATATCGATATTAATATAAAATTAACTATTTAAAAGTTTTTTTATACAATTTCTTTAATTCAACTTTTTATTAGAATTCAATTTAGGTTTAATAACGAAGTAGTTTATTTTTGACTCAACAATATAACTTTTATAAGAGTTAATGCATGAAATAGCAACCTACTTTCATAAATTTTCTTATTATAACATTCTACTTTTATTTTCTTTATTATAGCAATATACTTTCAAATTATTTTTTATTAAGACATTGTACTTTAAATAATCTATCCATAATAGCAATGAGTAACCCGTTACTTTTTAAACCGGTTAACCTTTTGACTTTTTTGCTTGTGTGGCTTTAATGAGGTGATGTGGATGACACATCATTTTGATGACTTAACTAAAATTAAAATAAAAATCTATTTCAAATTATTATTAATATTTTTCATTTTTCATTGCTATGATCTAAAAAAATGTTTAATTTTTTTTACTTTTTCTTATTAAGTTGCATGCAAATTAAATATTTTTAGAGTAATATATTTATTAAATAAATATGAAAGATTATTTTTCGAGATATATTGTGTTTGTAAAAAAGGTAACTTTTCTTATTTTATGTTGTTTTCTACAATTTTTTAATATTGTTATATTAATAAATAATTTAGATTTTTTTTAATTCATTTAATACATTTATTAAATAACATGTAAAATATCTAAATATTAAAATTAAAAATACAGTGTTTAATAATAACTAGTAGATGCTATAATAAAATAATTTTGAAAGTACAATAATGTAGTAAGAAAGTCACATCACTATAGTACATGTGGACAACCTACATGGACAATGAGGTGACATGGAAACCTAGTATAATGAGTAAATTTAAATCAAAAGGTTACTCAATGTTATAATGGGTAAAATTTTCAAAGTATAATGCCCAAATAAAAAATATTTTGAAAGTACATTACTGTAATAAGAAAAACTGAAAGTATAATGTTATAATAATTTTTTTTATGAAAGTAGATTGCTATTTTGTGCATTTTGCCCATTTTATAATGATAATAATTTTATTAGAACTCAATGATTATCCTAATTATATATTAGATTTTTTTTATTTAAAATGAGATGTTTATTCTATATTCGATTATGTTTTATTTTTTGTCTTTGTTTATATTAGACGGTTTATGTCGTTTTGAGAAAAATATTGTTTTTACTTTTGAATAAAAATAAATTTGAAGATATCATAAAAGTTTGAAAAAATTTGATATAACTATAAAATCAACTATTTAAAAGTTCTTTTTTATACAATTTCATTTAATTCAACTTTTCATTAGAATTTAATTTAGGTCTAATAACAAAGTAATTTATTTTTAACTTAACAATATAATTTTTATAAAAATAATAATTTTGTTAGTTATCAATGATTATCCTAATTATATTTTAGATTTTTTTATTTAAAATGATATGTTTATTCTATATTCTATTATGTTTATCCTATATTTGATTATGTTTATCTGCAGTTAGTTATACGAATTCAAAAATAGAGTTTTAATAAGTGGAATCTATGCACAATTTACTTGTAATCTTAAAATTTAAGTAATATGCATTGATAAACAATATTTCATGCATAAAAAATGGTTTTTAAATTTTTTTGTCAAATGCTTTATAATATAGTATAGATTATAAATAATCTATTGGAGCAACAAATTATCTAGAATGAAAAATCGAAAGTCAAATATACAAGAAAATTTAGGTTCATCTCCAACAACTTCATTATTTTGGAGATTTAAATTATTATTTATATTATTAAAATATTCGATACGTTAAATAAAATATTGGTTCTCTCTCTAAACATTTAATTTCAAAGATTCTCATTGGCATAAAATATAAAAATAATTTCTTTTTCTTAAATAATCACATTTGGAGAAATATTCAAATTTAGAGATTTTCGGCATCTCTTCCACACTTTTTTCATTTCGAAGCATTTGTTGAAACAAATATCTTCTCTATAATTTTTCTAAAACACAGAATCAAATGTCAAAATCTTTAAATAAAATTACATTTCGCTCCAACAAATTTTCTTTTTTAAAGATTTCAGCATTAATTATATTATTAAAATATTATACAATTTTATCATCTTGATACATTTTCCAAAAAAGAAAAACTTTATATAAAATAATAATTATTTAATTTTATTTAAGGAAATAAATTATAAATAATTTCACTTTGTTTTCCATCAAACTTGTGTTTTCAAATTTGGAGAGAAAAGACAAGAAATAAAAATATTTTTTTATATATGTTCTCAAAAGAGAAATAATTGAAAGAAAGGAAAAAAAAAAAGAAAATTTATGCTTTTGAGCATGAGAAAAAGTGAAGGAAAAATGTCATTTTTATAAATATACCTTAAAAAAATGTCATTTATTACGAAAGGTTGGGTAGTTTTGTAACCTTACTAATCTATACTATATTATAAAATATTTGATAAAAACTTTTAAAAATCACTTTTTATACATAAATATTGTTTATTAATACAGGTTACTTAAAACTCAAGATTACAAGTAGGTTGTGCGTAAGTACAACTTATTAAAGTTTCATATCTGAATTCGTGTAATTACAGATAAACATAATCAAATATAAGATAAACATCTCATTTTAGATATAAAAAATCTAACATGTAATTAGGATGACCATTGAGTTCTAATAGAATACTTAATTGTTATCTTTATAAAATATTATATTATTAAACCAAAAATAAATTATTTTATTATATAAACTTAAATTAAATTATAATTAAAAAAATTAAAGAAATTACATAAATGATAAAAACATTATCGTTTTCTCAAAACCATATAAAACCGTATTATAACATTAATAGAGACAAATAATAAAACAAAACATTAAAATTAAGATGTATTTTGCTGTATTATACAAGTACCTTTTTAATCTTCTTAAAAAATACATCTAAAAAGAAAGTTTTGAAAGGAAACTTATAACTATTTTTCGTTATTTACCTTTTAAAATATTTTGAGAACACGTTTCTTTAACTTTCCATAAAAGAAAAAAAGTAGCCTTTGAGAATCTATTTGTTTTAAAGAATTCTTTGTGGAGAATTCTTTAAAAAATTATAAAGCGGTCACCCAGTCGCCGACGCCCCTCGGCTCCAGAAACCGGCACCCTCGCCTCTTCTGGCGTGCCCCTGATCAGGCTCGATCTTTTTTGTAAGTTGAATCGTTTAAAGTTCACCTTTCTGTTGTTATCTCTGTTATAGGGTTTAGTGATTTTCGCCATTTGGGATTGACGATTGATGAATCGATCAAACAATTTTGATGTTGGATATTTGAATATTACTTCACTACAGCCTACAGGCCTCACTCACGGTATACTGATTCTTGCAACTGCAATCGAAATTCAACTTCTTTGATCGGTAATCGATCTTTTTCTAATCAGAATTTCACATACAAGTCTAGTTTTGATCGGAAAGTCCCCAAATATGTATCGTAATTCAATTGAAAAAATTCCCCTTTACTTGTATTGTTTTTGTTTTAGGGTTTACTGTGTTACATTGTGATCATTGTTTCTAATTGATTTGGAATAAAATGCTTGTTCTTGTTGTTGCATTGTGATTCTTTTGATAGAAGGGACTCTGGTGCGAAACAACTGCAATGACTTCGAATGCTTTTGACCCTTGGGACATGTGACTACTTCCCCTTCTTCACCCTCTTCATTACTAAAGAATACCACCCTCGACGAGAATTACTTTTTTGGCTTTCCAGTCATTGTTCAACTTTACGTTTCGTTTTCTGACGAAAGATGAGGAAAAAGATACGGCTGGCACAAAGCAAGGTGATTTCTTGAGATCTTATGATATGGTTATGGGTTTCATCCGTTTGATTAAATCTTTTCCTATAAAAATAAATCTGATGGGTGGGTGTGTAACACTGTATCACCGGTGCTTAATTATCTGTAGAACTATTCACTTTTTTATGTGTAATCATTTAGTTTATGCTTAATAGGTATTCTTGTTTAAGGAATTAAACCATCGGATTTGAATCCCCTAGTATTATCCATGTGGAAAGATCCACTAATTGCTACATTGTGTATGTGAGGATTCTTTAATATCAAATCGAAGCTGATGTTTTTCTTGTTTCTGTTTATGTTAATGATGTGTATTTGTTAAGGATGACCTTCATGATCTTGGTTCGGACGATCTACTGAGCCGATTGTCAGATGATATTCTTGTTTCTATTCTGTCGTATTTGCCTCTAAAGGATGCAGCAGTCACCAGTAAGCTTTCAAGAAGATGGAGGTACTTGTGGTGTCAAAGAGTTTGCATAGCCTTCGAGGACAACGAAGGATCGGGTAAGATAAGAAGGGAACAAGATTCGAGTACTTTGAATGAGTGGAACAAGTACACCAGTTTTTGTTTGGCCGAGAGGAACAATTACATCAATTGGGTTAACCGCATTATTCGTCAGCACAAGAGCCCCATCATTGACGAGTTTAAGATTTGTTTTGATTTGGACAAGAATGCAAAGGGTGCAATTCGTAAATGGATTGAGTTTGCAATTTCTAAAAATGTTCAGAGGTTAGAATTGGATTTGAGACAAAAAAATGGGCTTATTAGCTATGGTTGGAAAAACTATGTTTTTCCGAATAAAATCTTTGATCGAAAATGTGGGTCCTCATCAAAACGACCATCTTTCAATGCTCTTGTCAGGCCCTATGCTACAGTTATGGAGATAAAGTTTCTCAAGGCTCTCATCTTGAAGCGTGTTGATGTGGATGATGAAGGCCTAAAGAAAATTCTGAGCAACTGTCCGGTCCTTGAACATCTATCCATTCAGGGCTCATGCCAATTAGTGAAAGCTAAAATCGATGGAGAAGGGCTTGCGCTGAAAAAACTTGAGATTGGTGGATGCTCTGCTAGACTTGAATCTATTGAGATATGTGATTCAAATATTGTGTCGCTTGATTGCTGGGGGTCCAATTGCAAGAGATTTCCAATTAGTTTAAGACTCGATAATCTTCAAAAGCTTGAAAAGATTTTTATTAGGAAATGCTATTCATTGAAGATCATTAATCATATGTTTTGCTGCTTACCAAATCTCCGAGTTCTTGAGTTGAGCCTCTTCAGTACACAGGTTAGAATGTGATTTTGAATGGTTGTTTTCTTTTCTCCATCTTTAACATGTTAGTGAAAGTGCTTCAATCTTTTTTCCAGAGGGCTATAGAGCTTCTTCCGTTCCCTGAGCTACCAAAACTTAAAAAGCTGATAATAAATGTGGAAGTACGGGAGGACGTTAGTCTTCTTGTGTTCACTTCCTTGGTGGAAGCTTGCCCAAATTTGCGAAGATTTAAAATTGAGGTACTTGATCTATCTTTAGTTCTTCACTGAATCACAATCTCTTCTTTGTATTTGCTTGGGATGAAGGGTCTGTTTGCCTTATTGTTCTTGCTGTATTCGCCGCAACTGAAATCTACTATAACTCTCTCTTTTTGGTTGGACTTTTCCGATCTTTCTATACCCACAATTTGTGTAATTTGTTGTTGTAGTTGGTGTTTTTTGTTGGTCATGCCTTCTGTCCGTTGACCTGCAGAAACTGAACACATAGAAAGGATTCATTTAGTTGAAGGTTGTTATCAATTTATGTCAACAAATTTCTTTCTAATCACCCTTGTCTTTTAACTTAGTTGCAGCTGATGTCCTCAATGAGGCGAAGAAAGGAAAATAGGGAGGAAAGGCAAGTGGCTAAGAAACCGCATCAACATCTGGAGGTGGTGGAGATAAGTGGCTATTATGGGATGACCGGGCACCTTGAACTTGCAACATATTTCATCGAAAATGGTGTTGTGCTGAAGAAGCTTATAATAAAACCACTTATTTTAGCAAGCCCTTCAGCAGATGGAACACTGGAGGTGGAGAATGGTCCTAGATATCATGCACAACAGCACTTGGAACCAAGAACACCTGTTGGCCTGGAGTTGGTAATATTATAAACCTTCAAAAAGACCTGTATCAGGAATTGATTCAAGTTTCTATTACTATTGACTTTGGATTGATGGCTTTCAAGCTGTTGGATTTTCTTTTCGTCTTTATGGCTTGATCGTACATGAACTATATTTTCTTCAAATGCTATCCAACATGTTCTTACCATCAAGCTAACTGATATTCTCCTATGGGTCCGGTCTGGTTCGATTGGAGTCTAGCCAAGTTAGACGGATCCAATCAACCTCTCTTTGGATTTGATAATTGTTGTGGGTTGAGTTTCTTGTCCTAACGTCGTTATATTAACCCTGTGGTTTCACTTTTGAAAGCTGTCCGTGATTGTTAACTCTGTTTATTTTCTCCTTTATAAGGAGGGGTATTTCAATCTTTTCACTAGAACATTATTACCAACAAAATAGAACAAATATGAACCTTTGCGTTGAAATAATCCACTAAGGGGGAGGTACATAACATATTATTATAGTCTTTTCTAATATAATAAAGTTACGTGGTGTCTTTTTTCTTTCATAAAGAGGTATTTCCATGGGTTTGCCTTGGTATTGTGTTCATACTGTTGTATTGAATTATCCCAGACGGTTGCTTTCTGTTCATATAATGCATACAACTTTGGTTGTTGGTTGGGCTGGTTCGATGGATTATGAAGATGTGACTGGAGCGCATATCGTATTTTCTGGGTTGTCCCTTCTCACAGCTATCTAATGGACCTACAAGAAAACCTTGTTTGGTTTGCCCAAGATATGTGAAATACATAAGTTTTCTTTTAAAGAATGACATAAAATTTTATTTTTAAAAAATATTAAATTTTAGATTGAGAGAAAATCTGTAATAAAATAAAATAGAAAATAGAAAATAAAAAATAGAAAATAATATATCATGTTATTTTTTAACCTAATATCCGACGATTTCGGTAGTGTTTGGGATTGCTTATTTGAAACAACTTTTGTTTTTCTACAAAAATGTTTATTAATTTATTATAAGTTAGAATGGTTTAACTTCTTCAAAAACTTATTATTACTGGTTTGACACCGGTATAAGTTGTTTATCCGAACACTCAAAAATGCTTATTATCGGTGCCATACCGGAATAAGTCAATAAGTTGTTTTTATAAGCAATCCTAAACACCCCCTTCATGTTATTTTTTAACCTAATCTCCGACAATTGCTTCTTCTCTGACGCAACCTAATCTCCGGCGCCCCTTTCTCATCTCTAATGCCCTCCCACTACCTTTCTCATCGTAGATCGCCGTGAAAACCCCCTCCCCATGTGTTCCGTCTTAGATCGGCATGGAAACCATCTCCCCTTGTGTTCCCATCGCAGACTGACGTAGAAAGTAGAAACCCCCTCCCCCTGGAAACTTCCCTGAAACTGCCATCGCAGGTTATGCTTTCACCACCGTTGTTGTGTGTCTGTAATTAGCGAGATTTTTAGGTATATGCTCTTTAAATGAAATTTTAATTAAATCCATAACCTTCTTTTAGTATAAACTTAATTTTTCTTATACATCGAGAAGATCATGAATTTAATTAAAAACTTATTTAAGGTCATATAATTAAGGTTTTAGTGTTAGTTTGAGTTCCATTCAGTTCAGGTTTTAGTTAGAATTGTTGGTTTGATTTAGGATTTGTATCACCAACTATTTTATTATGGTTTGAATTGTGTTACGGTTTACAGTTTGATATAGGTTTTATGGTTTGATTTATAGAACGATTTAGAATTTGATTTTGACTTTAGGGTCTCTTTTAGGGATGGTTTACCTAACTCTTACTTGATAAACGCTTGTCATTAAGATTCAATATGATTTTTAATTTACCAATTAGATTTTAATGTATTAAGATAACATCATATGTAACATATTTGTTGATGAACATTTAACAGGTAAGAGTCGTCACTCTCACTTATCAGACAATATTCTCGGTCTTTGTTATTGTTCTTACCAAATAAAACTCTCAATTCTTGTCATACTTATCTAATAAGATAAAATGACATCATAAACACTTACCACGTAAACGAGTAGAAGACCCCTAAGATTTTATATGATAATTTCTTTTTGATGAAAATTTTGTTCATTATTCATGAGATTGTTTCTTGAGGTTCTTCATTTCTTATGTGAAGAACATGATGTTCGATAAGAAAAAAGAAAAATAAAAGAAATTATTTAAATGGATGAAATAATCGAAAGACGGAAATACCCTCAAATTTAACGAAACTAATGGATAACCATTGACCAAATCCAACAAAAAGTCATGCCATAAGGCACCCTCACAAGTAGGGGTGCTAAAAAACCGACCAACCCGATCAATTCAACCCAACTCAACCCAATGTGAAATAACCCAACCTGAAGCAACCCGATGTCTAATCTATTTGTAAAATTGTCAAACCGTAGGTATTGGGTTGATATTGAGTTACTATTATTTGAACCCAACCCAACCCCATGAACCCGATATCCTTTTATTTCTTGGATTTAATATGATTGTTGAATTTCTATTAATATATACATTAGACAATTATACTTATCATGTATGCTTCTCATATACACATATTTTCAATCTATTCAAATCTCTATATAACTGATTCATATATATGTTCAGTAACTGTGAACATATATATGTAAATTGAGAAAATTAACTGAATGTGATATACGTAAGAAATATGGATAAGTTGTATCAAATGGTTGACGATGAAAAATAAATTATGAGTAAATAAATAACATATTCAAGGTTAGAATAATATTCTAATGTATCAAAGTATCAACCCGACCAACCTGTACGGGTTGAGTTGGGTTGGGTTAAGATTTTTCAAACCGCAAATATTGGATTGAGTTGTTCAAATGTCTTCAACCCGATGAACCCAAACCCATGAGCACCTCTACTCACAACAAGTCACATCCTACGTATTAAATCAACCCCGAGGACCAAATTCGTAAAAGTAGTAACCACAGGGACGAAATCTGCAATTTACTCATAATAATTATCGTTTTCATCCTGGTCGAATCCCTCTCTCGCTCTCGTCCCCCTGAATCGCCCTGCTGCTGCGGACCGCCTTATGCTGCCACCTTCGAGTTCCGACCACCCAATTGCTGCCGCCTTCCAAGTCTCTGCCTGTCGCGTGCTGCTGGTGATTTCTTTCCCTAAATTCACCCATGTCCTCTAGATCTCTACCCTGCCAGTAACGTTTTCCTAAATTTACTTTGCTAAGACCTTTGAATATTCAGTTGATGGGAATGCCAAAAGCCCTAATATTTTAAATGTGTTTTTGATTGAACATATGATGGTCAGATTGTGTACAGAGCTATATGATTACCTTGTCTTAAGAGCAAATTTAAATGGATGCAGGGAATATGTGCGAATTTGTCTTATGCCATGATCCTTACAGAACTTGTCGAAATTTCAATGAAATTTCAATCAAAAGACTCTGTTGTGTAACTGCTGCAATGAGGTTGAATGCTTTTGACCCCTGGGACATGTGACTACTTCACCTTTTTCACCCTCTTCGTTACTAAAGAATACCACCAGTTGTTGTTCATCTTTACTTTTCATTTTCTGACGTAAGATGAGGAAAAAGAAGGTGATTTCTTGAAAATATTATGAACTGATTATGTGTTTTTTTCTGTTTGATCCAGTCTTTGTTGACTATTCCCATTTGACTTTGATTATCCTTATAAATTGTCACTTTGTTTATGTGTATTTGTTAAGCATGACCTTCATGATCTTGGTTCAGACTATCTACTGAGCCGATTGTCAGATGATATTCTTGTTTCTATTTTAAAATCACCCATGTCTTTTGACATTGTTGCAGCTGATCTGGTCCATCTGGGTGAAACCAGAAGAGACAAATAGGGAAGTAACGCAAGTGGCTAAGCAACCTCATCAATATCTGGAGGTAGTCGAAGTAGGCGGGTATCGTGGGTAGACCAGTGACCTTGAACTGGCTATGTATTTAATCGAAAATGTGTTGTGCTGAAGAAGCTTGTGATTAAACCATTTACGGAACTCGGACTTGCAGCAAACGAAATAATGGATGTTGAGTAGGGTATCACACAGCACGTAGCAACCAACATCTAAGATGACATCTACCAAACACTTATTGAGTAAGCATTTACCACGGTCATCAGGAGTTAATTACCTTACTGGATGAACATGACAAGGATCAATAATTTTATCTGGTAAGAGGCATAACAAAGACCGATGAGCTTACCCGGTAAATGAAGGAGAAAACTCTTGCCTGGCAAGCGCTTACGAGGTAAAAGACACTTATCAAAAATCCATTTTGATGGTCGAAAATGTTGTTTAATAAAGTAAGCGTCTAAGTGAGGGTGGTGGTGATTTTTGGCGGTAAACACTTACCCAATAAGCGTTTGGTGAATGATCTAAAACTCAAGGGTACATAGATACTTTCTTACCACTAAACTATTAATAAATTTTAATATTTTTTTCTCCTATTTTAATTTTATTAGTTTTCTTGTTGATTCATTTTTTTCTTCCTTGCATTTTTTTTCCGACTTTTGTCTTGTTTTCATGGAAACATTTATTTATCTTAATAAAATTAATCATATTCAACAATTAATACTTTCTATGTATTTTTGTTTTGAAATCATGTCATAATATTTGCAAGTTTATTGTTCTTTTTGCCAAACATATTTTTGCTGCATAAAACAATTTAGGCCACCACTAGCTAATTTCAACTCGGAACCACTAATATCTTTTGTTATAATTTCTAAAATCAAACCATGTATGAAATAATGTAGATTACTATATAATTTCAACTAATTTTTTTGTTGTTGTGATTTTCATAGTCATAAATATGATTCTCAAAGATTATATTTTATTTTATATTTCTTGATTTGATGTTGAATATCGTAATTCCAATTTTGTTGTCATCCATAACGTGATTTGTTGCCTAAGGCTATTTATGGTTGTTTAAACTACATAACACTCGCTACTCAAGAATATTTAGATATTTAAAAATACGATACACATATAGTACTAAGGGGCCGTTTACCAAACTCTTACCCGAGTAAGCGCTTACCTAGTCACACTACCTTAGCGGATAAATATGATAAAGACAAAGAATCTTAACCGGTAAGAACGAGATAAAGACCAATAGTCTTACCCGGTAAGTGAGAGC